CTGAACCTCCACATCGATTTGAGATTGGTGTAGGAAACTGTATTGTCGATTTTCTCCAAATTTCCAATTTCTTTTATGGTTCGTTCAACCGAGCACAAACCGGGCCGATACATTGATTGGGTAATATCCACTTCGCCCTGTCCGGCAGAAAATCATAATCGATTGTAGCCAATCAGCGACAAGTAATTTTGGAATGACCAATGGGAGAGATTGGTGCCCCGTTCGGTCGGCGAGATTCGATTGAACGGGATCCGAAAATTCGTACCGAATCTCCAATATACTTGGAACCAATTTTTCATTTGCTAAAAATATCTACTTGGAACAGGCCCTTATGCGATTCCCTCACTTTTGCATATTTTAACAGCATCTCCAACGCATCCCCAAATACTATTCTCAACTATTCAAGCAGGTGCAGTCGGACCCTGTGACGCACCTTTGGGCGCCCAAAGGTTAAAACAATTACCACTCTGCTCCAAAATAGTTGTTAGGTAGTTTTTTCTATTAGCGGTATTTTTCTAAATATCACCCGATTGCGATGCGGTTGGTGCATCAATACGCGCAAGATCTCTGCTTTGATTGGGTAGTTTGCGAACTTTCTGTAGCAGTTTGGTCAAATGTGCCAAGTAGAAACATCTAAAAACATGATCATTACACGATTGTTCATAGCCCCAGCACTGCACCCTCCAAGACACTAACCTGAATAAGCATCCGCAACACACCGACGTTTGTTGCGTCGAGCCTCGTCCTGTCGACGCACCGCGAAGCGCAAGCACGCACTCCCGCTCCGATGAACTCCAAGCGGTGTACGAAACACTGCTTAGCGTTTCGTCGAAAGGCGTACTACCCTGTGGATCCATTGTTCGTGTTGCTGCCCAGTTCGGTTGTTACGCGCTATCTGTGCCGCGAATTTGGACTCGCAGATTACAGTCCGTCCATCCAAGAGGGACGCATGTGTGCCGATGTTGTGTCGAGAATTCGCCGTAAATCTCTATGATGTGATATATTTATCGAATGTTACGAATATTGATTTTAAATATTTTGCTACATTAGGTAATTCTGGACACAAGCGGAAGCGAACGAACGAAGAAATTGAAGCAGCGATTCGACAAGTGCCTAAGGCATCACGGGAGACCTTGAGGTCCATGGCCTTCAAGAGCAATATACTCAAGTCAACGATTGTGAGACACATGAAGGAAGCGGCGAGGTTGAAGGCGCGATCAAGTTATGTCAAGTCCTATCTTACTCCAAGCAACCAACAAGAGCGCCTGGGTTTTGCCATGTCCTTTCTTCAGCCTCTGTCAGATGGGAGATAATTTTTTTCAAATATGGACGAGTGTGTGCATATTTATGAAAATTGGTTCTATTTGACTAAGGTTAACAAAAATTTCTACTAGTATGTGTTGGAGGACGAAGCTGTCGCAGCTCGATTTGTGATGTCGAAACAGTTTATAGCAAAAGTTATGTTCTTGGCGGCTATTGCCCGCCCTCGTGTTGAATTAAACGGCACTATTTTCGATGGCAAAATCTGTGTTTGGCCGTTTGTCGAAAAAGTGCATGCACGGCGCAGCAGTAAAAATCGGTCAAAAGGCACGATAGTGACGACTCTACAATCAGTCGATGCTAAAGTATACTTGACCATGGTTTTAGATATTGTTGTGCCTGCAATACAGTCAAAGTTCCCACCGCAGACTGATGTTATAATCCAACAAGATAATGCCAGCCCCCACAAGTGCTTGATAACAGGTATGCTGAAGTCGCGAAGTGTCAACGGAATTGAAGTGAAGAATCAGCCGTCGAATAGTCCAGATTTTAACGTTTTAGACTTAGGATATTTTAACTCTATTCAAAGCCTTAAGTATCAAATATGCACTCGAACGATCGAGGATCTTATTGATGCTGTAGAAACCTGTGGATACGGTGTCAAAAACTTTCATTACACTTCAAAAGGTGATGGTGAAATTCATCCACATACAGCGTACATGGAATCAACGAATATAAGCTCCCTCATATGACGTAGGACGCACTGATCTCAGACTTCACGTCCTTCAACGTTGAGTGTGATGCCTATACATACGAGAGTGCTTTGATCCACTTGAACTATCGACTGGGCGAGTAAGCGTCCATGGAGACGCAAGTGAATTCCCAAGAACAAGCTGTTGTGACACATTAATAAAATGTCATTATATTTTGGCCTTGAATATGCGTTTCTGGAGTTACATACAAATATCAAGTTGTTTTCAATTGGCCTCTCATACTTTAATCAAGTCAAAATGAACCTTACAACTATTTTGGACCAGAGTAGTACCAGTTAACGTTTTGAAACATTGATATTTGAAAATCCAATTTTGACAACCGTAATTAATACTACGTTTCAAAACTACCTTCCTCTGGGATTCTTAATGCTTGGCGCTTTTTGAGATCAAGAATCTTGGCAGCTACTTCGTTTCCCGGTGGGGCAGTCATTGTAATCAGCGCCAATAGATTTTATTCTTCAATTTTTGTTGCGTTGAACTTGAGATTTCACCAAGGCCTCCGTGGCCACAATAGATCTAGCACGACGATCGTCGTCGGCGCATTGTACCAACTTTGCGCGCTTGGCTGATTTTGTTCCAAGTGGACGATCATTTTGGTCGGGGTTGTAGGCTCCCTCGGTGTCACATGACTCGTTTGGCCACCCTTTGGCTTGCGAGCGTTCGAACTTCAAAGCCGATGGACTTGCAATCGCATACTCAATAAATATGCATCAGATTCAGATTGACTGTGAACATAATGTATATATATACATATTCTACAGATTAATGGTTTACCTGCCACTTGTCGCCATACCGTTTCAGTGCATGCCAACTATTGACATACTCAAAGTCGTCCTTGTGCATGAGCTTGTACAAGTCTAATGAATCATTGATGTAGTCATCCGACACCCATCCCCTACGTTCCACTGCGACGATCGTCGCATGCACACCAATAAACAGATTTGAACTGTGCCTGCATCTTGCCTCACTGATTTCGAATTACCTTCTCCGTACTATCGGTGCTGCCGCTTAGTTCTACGAACGCCACGTAAACCTTGGACCTGTACGATGCTGCCTTCTGATCGGCTCCGTGGTTTGAGTCAAAGCCTGTCATCCCGACAGACCGTGCAAGGTTGACGCATTCGTCATCCTTTCATGCCTTTCCATGTCCTAGTTACTTATTTGGAGTGGGTTCACTCGTGTTTGCCTTATGCGGCGTCTCAAGCTGCAAGTCGACGCCCAACTTCTCGATTGAAATTGGAGAGTCGTTGTTGGGACAAGGAGTTCGGATGCCCAATAGTGTGAAAATTTGGTTGTCCAAACTCCAAATTTGGGTTTGGGGACATCCGGTGGGGGAAATTTTGTCCCATCTGATGTCCCAATTTAGAGTTCGGACATATTTGAGGATGCGTTGGAAATGCTTCTGGCACCCGGATTGGAATCGTAGTATGAATGCATATGTATTTGAACATTTGAGGAGTTATATTATTAATTCACGCGTGGATCGCACTGGTTCATTAGTACAACACAGTGTTTTATATATGTATGAAGATGTATGAAGTACTATTTTAGAGTCAGCATTTTCTCAACGACTGAGTCATATCGTGACAATGCCTTGAGGTTTGAGCTCGCGCAACGTCCTCATAGACAATGGGTTGGTGATCTACGCTCCATGCAACAAACAGTAGTACGCTACGAATGCGATCATCCAGGTCCCCATTTCGATGGATGACGCTAAGCACCTTGAGGGCCGTTCGGGCAGATTTGGAGGTAACTTGTCGTTGAACGAAATACTCCATGATCTCAGTTTCAGTACCTGCACCATGGTGAATTACCCCGTCGGGTAAGTCGGGGGAGTCAGGTACCAAGCTGTAACCATGTGGAAGGAATAATCGCATAAAGCTGACAAGCTGCTTGGATTCTGACCGTTTCTTCCGTCCATAGGTGCAGACTTTGCTTGTCAACCAAGCAACCATACATACACCAAAGTTCTTGCGCCGCCAAGGCACCTTCGCCCCCCCAGTGTTCACGTCGCTCACGTTGTTTGGATCCAACGTTGCATGACGGCGTGCGGTGGATGTAGCAACAAGCGTTGATGTAACTGTATATTGGCGGCTGGTCCAAGTAAATACACTTCGATTTCACGCACACGTTGCGTCAACTGTATATTCATCTCAACTAATTGTTGGATCACCATGTCTTGATGGGTTGTTGCGACAGGGCGTGTATTGCACGAGTCACTCGCGATAAGCAAGGGGTCCGTGCCATTCAGTACACCATTCAGTGCTTGCTGAGCCTTGTGTAGATGCACTTACCAAGCAACCACTTCGGCGACTTCAATAAATGGATCGCGGACAGCAAAAACGCTCACACGAGTGACAGAATCAAACCATGACAGATCAGCCAACGAAATGTTGTATCACACGCCAACCATTCAATAATCGGGCAACCATTTGATCTTCCTTTGTAGTGTTGAATACGTACGCCAAGCCCTTAATTGTTGACGACATATCCCACGAGCCGCGGTCGAAAATACACTATTGGCTCAAGTCATTGTCGCTATTTCCTTCTTGTGTCCCTCAAAGACGGAACCAGTGCGAACTCAATTTCGAGATTCGATCGATTCACGTACGTATAAACGACAGGGACACGTTGGCCGCCTGAATTGCGGTAAATAGTTGCCAAACCATCACCAATGTTGGAAGTTACCACACCGTTACCTTTATCGGACATGTCAAGACATCGCCCCGTCATGGCCCGTCGGACGATATCACACCGGCTCTAAGGAGTGTTGTCTCACCACCACAAAGATCGACCTCGTCGGAGATTGACACACTGTCCAAGATGGCCATCATTGGTACTGCCGTGTCCAAAGATGACAAATCCTTTCTATTGAGCTTTGGTAAGATGCCAAATAACGATGCTTGTGGCGTCTTGTCCATTGCCAACCATGCACCCAACGCGACAATCGGGCAGGTAAACCCTGAATTGTCGTGGATTATCGACAACCTTTGTTCTTCCGATGTATTGACACGAATAAGTATGAAGAACATGACGTTCCGTGCCCCCATGGAAAAACTGCACTGCTTCAGCAATAACAGATCTGATGCACGTCCGAAGCAGTAGCACAACCACAGCAAGGGGCACGCGTCGTGGTACTGTAGTCTTTAGGATTGAAAGAAGTAGTAGAAGAATTGAATCTAAGTGTTCAAAACGTCCTTTGTTGCTGCAGTTGCCCTCACAACCATTCCACCATTGTCTCGCTTTAAGCAGTATTGTTCCAGGATATTCTCCCAGTTTGAGCATTATGGCTGTCGATTGATCGCGACATGCAGGGTAGAGCTCCATGGGCCACACCTTGATATAGCGAAAGTACGATTTCACTGTGTTCCGAGCAAGTAGGGCCCATAAAGAAACGCCAAATATGCTACAAACTTGCCCATGACGCGTAAGAAGGTCGTTCCTGTTTGATCAAGTTGCACGCATCGATGAACATAGTTAGTCGTAGGTGACGTCTTAACTCTCCACAAAACGCTTGAATGCATTGATGGCAGTCTCTCTGGCGCTCTTCGTATTCGCGTGCTCATTGGGCTTATTTATAATGGGCCAGTTAAAGTTTTTTCAGAATGTATGTTTTGTCGGAGGAGTTGTAAATATGTCAGCTACTAGTATTCGAAAACAGCTTGAATTTTGTATGTATGGATGCATAATTTCAAATTTTCTCCGACAAAATATGTCGCAATTGTTGGAGCAGCTCACAGTCAATATCACCAACACCTGCACTGATTGGCCTAAAATAACTGTCTGGATTTATTTGATTGGATATAATGCAAAATACCGTTCATTTACTGGTCAGAATATGCATACTATTAATAGTGGAGTAACCTTGATATAATAAACCACTGAACCAGTAACTGAGGTACTGATGAAATAGTAGAATGTATTGGATATATTTAGTGGCATACAAAATACAATATGTTTGCTGCTCAAAAATCCCATCCTGTTTTCGTAGTAAATGATCGATAACGACGGCAGAGATCGAGAAACCTCGTAATTCGTAAATCTATTGATCAGTAGATAGGGTTCATGATCAAAGATGCAAATATAGAGGTATACCTCCATCTGCGATTAGGACGCGCTCTAATTGGTCGACACGATTTAACGCAAAAACAACACAAGTCCTATCCATTCGTCTTGCAAGTCCCCAGCACGAATAACTTGTAATACACAACACCACTCAGTGTCTTGCCATGCGCGTCACATCAATGCTTGAACGACTGCAAGACCAGTCAGCATCGGATAGACTGCATCTCCAACAAAGTCTGGTTGAGTTCGGCGAAGCAGCCGACGAAGACAACGACGTCCAAGATGCCAACAACCCATTAATGGACAAGGTCATTGAAGAGGCTGGCGATGAAGCGTTCCGTGTGCTGACAAACTTCACACCGAGCGAATTCGACATCATCTGGGCCAACGTGGAGCGTGCAATGAATTCGAAGTGGTTTGAAGGTCGAGGAAGAAAGTCCAAGATGACACCCAAGGATGACCTCCATATTACCTTGACTGTTCTCAAGCACTACCAGTCCTCGGAGAAGCATGCCGTCGATTTCAACCTGAAAGCGCCAACGTTGGAGAAGATCGTCGTCAAAGTTGTGGAATTGTGCTCACCGATCCTGTACAACACGTTCGTGACAATGCCGACGATGACGAGCCTGGGCCGGAAGTTTGTGCACTACCCGTACGCGTTGTACGCGACGGACGTCAAGTTCCAGCCTCCCCACCGGCCATCCGGAAGGTTCGGGGAGCAGATGCACTATTTCAGCGGCAAACATAAGCTGTAAGGTCTGAAGATAGAAGCGTCTGTCTCACCTGACAGTCGTCTTGTCGATATGAGCCCTCATGTGCCAGGCTCTGTGGCCGATGTGACGTTGATCCGCAGCCGCCTTGACGAACACCAACGATTCCTCTCTAAGGAAGCAAGTGAGTCCATAATCAACGACAACGGCGAGCTCTTTCGTGGCCATCCGAATTCGTGGGCGCTGCTTGTGGACAAAGGATACATCGGCCTTACGGCGTCGTTGCGTTATATACACCCGAAGAAGAAACCTACCGGTGGCGCGCTGGACAGGCATGACCTTGACCGGAACAAAGAGGTGTCCTCGGATCGCGTTATTGTTGAGAACTTTTTCGGCCGCGTCAGCATGTTGTGGAAGGTGTCCTATGCAACGTTCGTTTGGGGTGAGAAGCTGTATGATGACATCCAGCGACTTACATTCTCGCTGACCAACTTCGATGCTTCGCTGCTGCCATTGAGATTGGAAGACCACGACGGCTACCGAGCTGTAATGGCGCGGTACAAGTGTATGGCGGCGGAGAACACGACGAAACGCGCTGCAGCTCAACGTCGCTACGTGCAGCTCCGAGCGGAAAGACTTGCTGCAAGTGCAGCACGTGCTGATCGCGTAGTCTTCACGTCACCTTCTGCGAACCGCCGTCGTTGAGTTTTGGATGACGCGAATATAATTACTTGATTATTGTATGTAATTATATTAATAACATACAAACATCAAGTATAAATTAAAAGTATTTATTATTATCAATGTTCGGTCCTAGTTTCCGAATTGCTTGATTTTAGTTTACCACCTCGTGAAATATGAAATAACTGAGTCTTTGTGCTGATGATTCGTCTTTGCGTACATTCTATTCCATTTGGGTAGTTGTTCAGTTTTCAATCAGTTGCTTATGGATATTATATAAACTCGAGGTCATACCTGGGTCAATCACATTCTTTCCAAATCGACGACAAACTGGTTTGGTGACCTAATAGAGTGATTGTACTAACTTGAAATTACCTGTGAAAATTCTGGAATTAACGCACACCAAATACCGCAGAAAGAACAGAGTGATTCCGGTGGCAACACAGATGTTGAACAAAGCTATCCGATGTGAAATCGTTCACAAAGTACAACTCGGTGGGAACACCACTAACCACGAGTACCCCAGGATCGAACAACGCCTCGCCAAGAAGGCACACCCGTATACGTATGAGTTGGGAGCATAACGACTTCGCCACATGATTCGTATCCACACACCAGACAATATCCCCGTCGCTCTGCAGGAATGACAGCATTTGGTCACAGATTAGGTTCGATTCACAAGCCACCCCATCAAATGACACCACACAACCCCCCACTTTTGGTCGCAGCGGCAACCACGGCACTCACGCACTCATGGTTAAACCCGGTTGACGATTCATTCTGCGGCCGTGCTGCAACGATGGCCGCGGGAGTTACTCCATTTGGAGCGTATTGACATGTGACCACCGCACATTTCATTTCAGTCGCCATGTTGGAAGGGCTTGCTTGTCACACCACACTGATCGTCAAAAGGGGCATGACGTGCTTTGGAAACGCATCATAAAAAACACACACAACCAAACGACGACCTGTACGCTAGCCAGCACTTTAGCCACATTTGTGGCATCAAATCCTAAAACGACTTCATCATATTCTGATGACAAGGGTGGCGATGGAAATGTGTAGAGTTGTAGACCGTACCAATGGAAAGATACGTGGGCCTTTCGACATGCATCCCATGAACCCTGTGCAGCGGTCGTGAATCGATGCTGGGTCGATGTTGAAGTCGCAGGAATTCGTCGAACGACGTGATGCAGTTTGCGCTAGCAAGTGACGAATGGACATGGCGAATAGCTTTTCGCTAACCAGGGCGTACGCTCTTGGGGACGTTGCGTGCAGTACATGGCAAAAGGCGAGGACTTTGTTTGGCACCCTTGCATTTCGACTTCCAACCACCGAGAAATCAAGGCGCGGGCCATGCCCACGAGGATGCGGTCACGAAGGATGGGTTGCTCGACGTAGCTATTCGAGTGTTTTGGGAGTACCAATAGAGAATTACCATGTGATAAAGGACGACAGAAAACCATCGGTCGTGGAACGCGAATTTTGATCACCGAAGCCACGCGAGTCAAGCAATGCAGAATGCTCTCTGCCATCCACCGGAAGTAGCTCAACTTAGCTTTGTCGATGTCAACCTAGTTAGGTCGCAAGCTCAATACTAGTATTAACTACTTCGAAGTATTGTGCTTTTCATCCAATTTGCCCATTGTTTTATCGCACTAATCAATGGATGACAAAATTAAAACCGCACGTTAAACAACGCAAATCGAGAGTCTGGCTAAGACAAGTCGTTATTTACTGGACTATCTCACTCGCAAAGTGGACGAGACCAACATGCAGCGCGATCGATTGAATGTCACGTCACGTTCCCATCGTGTTGAATCTTGACCAACATGCAGCGCGATCGATTGAACGTCACGTTCCCATCGTGTTGAATCTAAGCTACTTCGTGAGAGTTCAAGTATGAGGCGAACGACGTCAACTTCAATGCCATAAACTTGGACAAGCACAACACATCTCCAACGCATGTCGATGCTGATCATTGTAAAACAAGTTGAATAAGATAAAACCGTGCACCTCCACCAATTCTTAGCCAATCAAAGCATCACGAATAGTTATAATTCAACGCGAACCGTAAAAATACTTCAACTTGCATCCGTAAAATCACGGCGAGTGCCGTAATTTTAGGCTGAGTTTTTATTAAAGCATGGTTTTAGACCTGGATTGGCCAAAAAAGGTGAAAAGCACAATACTACTTCGAAGTATTAATACGTACTTGAAGTAGTATACTTTATCCGGAATTGTCTCAACAAGTTGGCCCGCGTGAAATGGGCCATGGACTTCGTTCGTCCCGACAGCAACTTTCAGTTCGCCGGCTTATACGACTACCTGGATGAGAAGTGGTTCCACGCGACAAAGGTCAAATCGCCAATGTATCTGCACCCCGGCGAAATCCCACCCCATCGCTCAACCCAGAGCAAGCGTTGCATCAGACGACGAAGGAGTGTTGGCTTCTGCGTAAGAATCAAATGAATTTGAGCTTGAGTATGCAAAGCCAATTATTTTTATTTAATTATATAGCTTTGATTATGGTTATGGATATTGATTTATTAAATCTCTGGGGTCTTTGAAATGTCAGGTCTATTTCCATCGTTCAACGATTTTGAAATGCTGCTTGGCGTAGCTAAAATAGAGCCGTCGATGCTGTGGAGGTCCAGTCCGTCGGCAGTTCTTCACTACTGGTCGTCCTGTTGCCTTCCTGTGGGGAGCGTTGGTACTCGGTGGTGCCATCCAACTTTCGAATGTGACCGTTGTCATGTGAATGACACGCAAATTTCCCCCTCATTAAATACTCGTAAAGATGATATGTAATAAGATTATAAAGGTCACCAATATCGAGGGTTCACCTTGGCAATTTATGTTTTCAAATACTATATTTGGTAGGGTTTACCATTCACACATGACAAATCATTTAAAGTACTTGAAGTAGTATACTTTATCCGGAATTGCCTTGTACTTCAGTACTACGTATTGTGCTTTGCACCTTTTTTGGCAATTCCAGGGTTAAATTCATTGTTTAAAAATTTCTCAGGCTTAAATAATGTCTAAAGTAACTTGAATAACGGTTGGGTGCGTTGTTTAAAGTTACTTCATCTATTGCGATGATTGGTTGGTTGAAGGTGGTTTTTACTGGCACTTTCGTAAAACAAGTTGTTTGCCGTTTTCATTCTGGCAAACAACTTGCTTTACGTCAACATGTCAACGTGCTTGACGCAATGAAACTGAAGGAGCTATGGCCACATACATGACCTCCCATCCGTGATCACTACAGTACTAACATTATCTACTCCGAGTAATGTATATAACGTTAGGGATATAGTCAGGCTACAGTACATGT